GACCAACAATATGGCTTTCGTTCAAGCACTCTCACAGCTGCAGTAGACTTAACCACAAAAATTAAAACTCAAATCGATCAAAGGAATTTCGCTTAGGGGATTTTTATTGACATAAAATAGCATTTGACACAGTAAGCCATCATAAATTACTGCAGAAACTAAACAACATAGTCGTTACAGGCAGGGCCCTCGAAATGTTCACATCATTTTTACAAAATAGGCGACAAGCTGTTCAAATGGATAATTTTACTAGCTCGATTAAAAACTTATCCTACGGCTGTCCTCAAGGCTCAATTATAAGTCCATCACTGTTTTTAATTTATACAAATAATATAAACAACATAGGGCTGACAGGGCACCTAACATTATATGCCAACGACACATGTCTCTTCTACTTCAATAAATCTATTCACAACATTATAACCTATGCTCAAAAAGATCTTGACTTACTCAGGGAATGGTTAAAATATAACCTGCTAACAATTAATATGTCTAAAACATCTTTCATGATTTTTTCTACAAAGAATAAACCTTTAGCAGAGTTTGCACATCTTACTCTTGAAGATAAAATAATAAAACGTTCAACTCAGAAAACATATCTAGGTGTATTGGTAGATGATTCGCACTTAGAAAATGCACATTGATCACGTCAAATCAAAACTGACGCCATTACTAAGCGCATTACGTAAAGTCGCAAACTGTATTCCGGAAAAGGTACGTACAATTATATACAACTCTTTAGTTAAATCACATATCGAATGACTAATTGAGATATGGGGATCAGCCACTAAATCAAATCTAAATCCACTTCAAAGGAAACAAAATAAAATTATCAAAACATTATTCCACTATCATTATTTAACTCCAACAAAAGTACTATACGAAAAAACTTACATACTAACCCCTACACAACTATACATTTATTGCACTTGCACTCTAATAAAAATATTACCACTAATTCTATTCAATCAATAATCGCAATCAATAATACAATTACATAAAAAAACAACAACACGCAACTTAAGAAGTAAAAATAAACTACAATTAATAACTGCACGAACTAACAATGGCAAAAAACCCTGTTGTTTGAGGGAGCACAGCTGTTCAATAAATTACCAGATGACATAAAAGTTGCAATAACGTGAAATTGTTTAAAAGTAAGCTTAGGAAATACGTGCGTACAGTGTAATCTTTTTTTGAATACGTGGTATCTCATATGTATAAGTAAATTAAAGCTTAAACTATAACACTTCCAGCACTAGATGTAGATGTGATAATATTACTTTAGTATAATAATTACTTTGTATCTCATTATAAGTGACCCATTGTATGTTCTTGGGGGATGAGTCGGATGATGATGAGGGGAGGATGAGTCGCTCGCGTCCGTAGGCTTCGACCACCTAACCTTAGGCCCACCCTACACGTGTCCCCCGGGTGGTGCTAAACGAGCGACAAAGCCGAAAAAATAGACTCGGCTCCTCGCCGTATGGTAGCGGCGTAAAATCTACCACCACCCCTTGTTCACACCATGGCTCAGAAAATGGGGCCGGGGTGCGAAGAATCTCCGGGAGAAAAACCGGCGACGAGGTTCGCCACCCGTCACGTTCTGTCTCCCGGAGGAGCGAAAAGTGGATTGCGGAAACCCGTCTGGCTACGCTAAATGTATGTGGAGGAATGAATGATAAGATGGATGAAGTATGCGAAATGATGAATGACAGAGGAATAGATGTGTTATGTGTGAATGAGACGAAACGAAAGGGAAAGGATGCCACTACACATGGCACGTATACCGCGTATTGGTCTGGTGTAGACGAGACCGAACGGGCATGCCAGGGAGTTGGTTTCATTCTTTCAGAAAGAATGGGTCAATGTTTGAGAGTATGAATGTGTAAGCCCGAGGCTGCTATGAATACGAATTAAAGTGGGCTTAAAGAAGCTGTTCCTGCTAGGGGTGTACGCCCCAGACATGTCTAAGCCCACTTGCATCCGAGAGCAGTTTTGGGACATGGTAAGGATGGTGTTGACAAAATGTAAGGAAAATGAAAATGTTATTATGTTAGGGAGTAGACTTTAATGGAAGGGTTGGGGTGAAGAGGTCTGGTTATGAAAGGATATTGAGAACGTTTGGTGATGAAAGTATAAATGAGAATGGTGAAGACCTCCTCACCGTATGTGTGGAAAAGAATCTTTTTGTGACGAATACTTTTTTCGTCATAAGAAGATTCACATGTATACATGGGAAAGAGGTGATGATAGAAGCATGATAGATTTCGTAATTGTGGATGAAAGAATGAGGAGCGCAGTCGTAGATACAAGGGTTTACCGGGGGTCCAACGTAGGGACGGATCATTACTTGGTCTTATGTCGAATTAATGGTCTTTTCAAGCGTTGGCGGCATCGGACATCTGTGTCTACCACTGCGTTACAGCCTATAAGAATAGAGAAGTTACAAGATGAAGATGTGAAAGAGAAGTATAAATGTAGACTGAGAGGAAATATTAGATGTTTGAATGAGTTGTGTATGAATGATTTAGACTTGAATACTGTGTGGGACAATATTAAGAAAGGTTTGGTGGATGCCGCCACCGAAGTATGTGGTGTAAGTAAGAGAACAAATGAAAGGAAAAGTAATACGTTGTGGTGGGATGATGAGATACGTATGGAAGTTGAAGCAAAGAAGAGAGCATGGTTAGATTTACTAGCAACCAAAGCTGGTAATTCTTCTGGTATGAATGATGAGATTGAAATAAAAAAGGCAGAATTTAGACGTCTAAATAAGAGAGTAAAAAAAGTTGTTGAAAGAAAAAAGAAAGAAAGAACGGATAAGAATGATAGAAGGATATCCGATAATTTCCAGGCTAACAAAAATGTTCTGGAAACTCGTAGGAACTGCCAGGGGAAATACAAAACAGCCTATAATGAATGCTATAAGAGACGAGAATGGATGTATTCTCAATGATGAAGCTTCGAATTTCAACAGTTGGAAGGAATACTTTGAAAGCATGTTTATGAGTGAAGAGTCGTCTGAATTAAATGAACTAGAAATTCCGAAAGAAGTGGAAAGGGGTATGGAGATAAGTGCAGATGAAATAATGAAAGCAATGAAAAGCATGAAAGCAGGTAAGGCAGCTGGATATGATAGAGTATCACTCGAGATGCTAAGGGCTGGAGAGGGAGTGGTGGCAGGCCTGCTGTACACCTTGTTTAATTTATGTTGGGAATTAAAACGGGTACCGGATGACTGGTGTAAAGCAGTTATAGTACCAATATATAAAGGAAAAGGGTCACAGCAGGACTGCAAAAACTACTGTGGTATCAGCTTGCTTAGTATTGTGGGTAAACTGTATGCTAAGGTGTTAATTGAAAGAGTTATGAAAGAAACTGATGGAAAAATTTGGGATGTGCAAGCGGGTTTTAGAAAGGGAATGGGGTGCACAGATCAAGTCTTCTCCATGCGCCTGATCGCGGAGAAGTTTTTGGCCAAAAACCAGAAAGTTTTTTGTGCGTTCATGGACTTGGAAAAGGCTTATGACAGAGTGGACAGGAATGTGTTATGGCAAACACTGAACTCATATGGGTTGAGCGCTGGTTTGATACAGGCATTAAGGTCTCTTTATAGGGACTCTAGTGCTTGTGTCAGGATCAATGGGGTCTACTCGGACTGGTTTGGCATCCAAAAAGATGTCGGACAGGGCTGTGTAGCTTCCCCTTGGCTGTTCAACTTATTTTTGGACAGGTGTTTGCAAACTTTGAAAGATGAAGAATGTGGGTTAAGAATGGGCGAGGTAACCGTCAAATGCCTTTTGTATGCCGATGATCAAGTCATATTTGCGTTATCGGCGGCTGAGTTGCAAATGATGGTTACATTAATGAACTGGGAATTAAAAGAAAGGGGAATGAAAGTGAACGCAAGTAAGACGAAAGTGATGGTTTTTGAAAGAGAAGAAAGCAAAACGGTATGTGAAATAAGAATAGAAGAAGAGTTAATTGAGCAAGTGGATGAGTTTGTGTATTTGGGATGTGTATTTAGCAGGGATGGTAGATATGATAGGGAACAACAATAAGGAAGTTTGCAAAAGAGTACCCTTAACCGAGAGCTATGCAAGTAAAAGAGGCATTCTTCCCCTACCCCTCTCAAGTTTGTACTGATATAGAACGACGAGTAAATGCAGGGAATAGAGTGAATGGGGTACTACACTCTATTATGAAGAACCAGAATGTGTCAAAAAAAGGCACGTATGGTAATTCATAATGCTGTGTTAGTCCCTACTTTAATGTATGGTAGTGAAAGCTGGGTGTGGCAGAAGAAGCACGAGAGTAGAATAAATGCTGTAGAAATGCGGTCTTTAAGGAGTATGCTAGGGTTGAATCTATGACAGGGTGAGAAATTGCATGATAAGAGATAAATGTGGTATGCAAGATGATGTTGTGACCAGGATTAAGAAAGGAATGCTTCGGTGGTTTGGTCATGTAGAAAGAATGAATGTGGAAAGAGTGACAAATCAAATTTATATGGCAGATGTGAACGGCCGAGTCGGGAAGGGACGCCCTAGAAAAAAGTTTATCGACCAAATTGGCGATATTTTGAAAAGAGGTCACGTTAGAAGTACCCTTAACCGGCGAGCATGTACGCGTAGATATATGGATGTAAAGGAGGCGAAAGAGGTATGTCAGGATCGTGCCAAATGGAAGTCCGTAGTCTCTGCCTACCCCTCTGGGTGACAGGCGTGAGTGTTTATGTATGTATGTTATGTATTGTATGTTCTTATGCGAAATAAATTTCTTTAAACTGAAAAATTCAATTAAAAAGTAGCAAACTTCGTCTAGACAAGTTTAGCTTAATATGTTCTAAATGATTTAAGTGGATGATCCTCTTTAGGCTTTGCACCCATCTTCCAAACGCCCTGTATAATTACAATTAAAAATTATAGTATATTTATGAAAGTTTCTCACAACATTATTAATAGAAGCGGAGTCATAAAGTTTACAGCTCACTACCGCAGGAATTGCACATTTTCGGCCTTTTCTAAGAAAGTAGGCTCTCGTCTTGAGTGCTCTTAATCGGTCCAGAAAAATCCGCTGCCGACAGTAACTTGCACAATGTGAACCTCACGGCTGTGAACTACTGATGTGGATGTTCGTTTTAAACTCATGCAATCTAGCTAGCCAGCACACCGCTCTATTATGACTGGCAGTAGCCAGTAGTAAAACCATGGACAGTAAAAAAATTCAATGCTTATTTATATTTGAGTATGTAAGCGTAAAGGTAAGAGTAGATTTTGTCAGCATTTTTTTACATTAGTGTTTCAGGTGAATGGCACTCAACGTTCAGTGATACAAAAAGAAAAATTATAAAGAACAGCAAGACTTAATTGACAACTTTACAATCTGTAGCAGAAATTTAAATATATACTTAAACAGAAACTTTGATGTATCTATTGCCTATACAAGAGCAAACCCTAGTGTGAGGTAGGGGTTTTAGAAACTCTGTTACTATCCATTTATGTGGATTACTAATAATTATTTTATTTCATTACAAATTAACTACCATTAACTTTGATCAAACCTTTTAAAATAACACATTTTACAACGAATGCCATTATCAACAATACACATTTTAAATATATTGCCATTGTCTTATTTTCTAAATCCTACTTTATTTACACATATATCACATTTATACAAATGGGATCGCTTACCATCCTGATTATTGCTTTAACTTAAAAAATAATGGTTTATGAAAGTGTTTAGAATAAAATCCTAAAAAAATGGGCACACGCATTAACCATTCCTTTTTACTAATTCTTATTTTCTTTCTATTGCTTTTGGTTTACAATACTTATTTTAAATATTACTTAATATCAGTCAGTTCGCTATTCCACTGTGGTAAGTTACTTAATGCAAGGAACAGGTGTTTCGGTAATTCGTTCACCGTTTTACCGATCACAACGAAACATGGTTGCAATCGTTCCTGGCTTAACGCTTCTGCGAGGAAATTCTTCGCTTCGCGAATTTGAGCCTGTTTCGGAGCCTCTTGAGTGTAGTTATCTGAAAATTATTTCATTAAGAAGAATGTATATTCAACTATATTTGTTTGAAATTGACTATATACAATGCAAACCATAGCTGAAATTACTATATACAATGTCAAATATATAATATCTACATTATAGTATTTACAATAATAACAGTCGATTGAATACACATTAAGCTAAGATAAAAATAAGGTTTTTGAACTTATTGCAGCGGGTTTAAACGTTATATACGATTAAATACCAAATTTTGGAAAATTTGACAAAAATCATAATTTTCACGATAACTGGAAATTCTAAGATCTAAGTTGATCTGTCACCCCTCAAGGCTTCTCATTGACCTTCCGAACACCAGTTTACTAGTAACATAGTCTATTTTTCTAATAAAGGTTAAGGAAAGGTCGTCTGGAAGAGAATCACTTTCACAGTAATAAGACCGCCTGTTGTACATATTCTAATTTAGTGTTTTAACTGTACTTGATGTCATTTGGAAATATTTTGGTGTACAATAAAGAGTAAATAAATCAATAAAATCTCATCAGCACCTAAAACGTAATTGTAGCTACAAACATCTTTATGCTTGTAATATTTTTTTTGAAAACTGAAGTGAAAATCGAAATTACAGTCCAACTGATGGCTTTATACATGGTGAAATCATGTTGCAGTTATATTAGTAGTACAGTTGCAGCCCGAATGGGTCGGCTCGACCGGGGAAGGACCACGCTCTCACAGAATACCAGCGTGAAATAGTATCTTAATGCTGCTGTGTTTCGTATGGTGAGTGTAGAGAACCGGAGAGTCTTTTTACTGGAAATGAGGCATTTCATCTTAGTCCTCACGGGTGACAACGCATTTGCATTTTGATTCGTAATCGAGAATAGGTGTAAATGTCTATGGGCCACAGCAACCACTTACCATCAGGGGGGATTGTGTGATCATTTGTCTCCCTATCCTATAAAAATGGCTGCATCCAACTTAAAACCAAGAAGGTCACAGATGTGCTTCTATCACCTCTGAGGCCTACTGAATGCCTCCCAGCCTGAAATCATACTGGCTGTGTAATGTGTTGTATACTCTGCGAGCCGGATCACAGCAGTCAAAATACTATTGACGATTTTCGACTAACAATATCTTCAATTTGTCAATGAGTTACAGATTAAAAATGATTTCTTATCTGCCTTTGTCTTTCAACAAGCCTTTCCATTGATATGAACAGGTTATGTAATATGTATATTTTATATAATTTATTTTGGCATAATAACTTAACTTTTTGTTATACTTATTTAAATGGGTTAAAATGTGACCGCTGTGATTCCTGGAAACATATGCAGTGTTCACTGCAAAAAGGTAAGAGGTATTACCTAAATTTCCTGGCTGTAACATGTTGAAAGAATCATGCCCACTTTCCACACATTGCTTGACCTGTCACTTGATTTCTATAAAAGGTCGCGTCTACCTACAACTACTGTTGCATAAAACAATTATTGTTTATAATAACATAATAACTTATCATCTTTTAGTTTAGAGGCCAGGGAAAAATGCTATTAAGTAAATAAAATTTTGAGGTTATAACAGCTGTCGGATAAAATCTGTACACTTATTTTTCTTTCTACACCACCATAAAATATAAAAACCATTAAAAATCGTATCTAATCATAAATTAATAAGTTATAAAAAAAGAAATTGGTTATTTTGAACATTAATAAAACAAAGGACGAATGAAAAAGTTTTTCGTAGTCTGAAATGGAACATGGAAAACACGATTTTAATATATTTTGGCATAGATTCTGGGCGTTTGAGCCATTGTAAAACACGTTCCGTCTCCAAAAGTCTATTGAGAATGGTAATCAAAGTAACATTACTTTTTTTCCTGGCTTAATATGAAAATTCAATTTATGCGATACGAAATAAGAAAAAAAAAATGCAATTTTATAAGATATTTTACATCACTAGACACGTTAGAAAATTTTCAGGTCAATAATGGACATGATTCTCTGTTTCTGTACTTAAAATAGCCAAAACTTAATAAAAGTACATTTTTAAAGATTACCTATAAAAGCTAACACTAAGGCATTCGCAGAGTATTGAGGAAACAGAGGCGACCGTCTTCTCCAACCAAGAGCATCGAACGACTCCCCATCTGACGATATCATGAAGTAATACGGCTTATCCGATGTGTTTGTCGCCTGTAAAAATAATTACAAATTTAATTAGATAGTGTTTATATCCCTGCTAGTAGTCTTAAAAGAAACGCCCTCATCAATCACCTAACTAATCTATGCGCTAGGAAGTTAGATTGTTGATCGCAATAATACCAGACGATACTGCTTCTCTCGACGCTGCTTAGCCACGCAGGTCTAAGAATTTTATTATAATGCCATCTACAGGTGGCCACAAGAATATGTTGTCATGCATTTCCCAAGTTAGGAACTTATGTCTTTTAAGATGCTTTTTTCCAAAATGTCAACCTCACTTTAACTCACTAATCGCTCAGCCCATTGACTTTCATTAAAATCTATTTATGCGTTTACGAGTGATTGTGTAATGAACACCCAAAAATATTCACAAACTTTCACATATATATTTACACATTATAAGAATCTTATTTTATTAGCTTATAAATACGAGTGGCAGCTTCAATACCGGTATGCTTAATTTTTAGGGCACTCTTCACTAGATGGAGTCACGACCTGGTAAGACATAATGGAAGCAGGTTTCTGAGCCGTGTTTCGTGGCGATCCCTGGGAGAGGACTATTTTCAGCAGTGGACTTTCAAAGGGTTGTAATGGTAAAGGAGTATGAACGTGATCTACAGATTAATTGTTACACAATGCCCCGAGAATAATTAAAACACACAGGAGGAAGCATGGAGGTCAATATTTTAAATAAAACATGTAGGTTAATATTTTTTACGTGGTAGAGCCAAGCTGCAGCTATATTGGTTACATTATAGTACGAATGGGTCGGCTCGACCGGTGTAGGACCATGCTCTCACAGAATACCAGAGTAAAATAGCAGATTAAGGGAACCGGAGACCCTTGTTACTAGAAACGTGGCATTCCATTTCAGTCCTCAGGGGTGACAACGCATCTGCATTTTGATTCTTAATTGAAGATAAATGTAGATGTCTGATGAATGATCGGCCACAGCATCCACTTACAATCAGGTGGAGTGTATGCTCGTTTGTCACCCTTATTCTACAAAAAAATATTCCAAATGATGTTCAATTTATAAAAGTGATTCTAATTATTTTAAATATTCTGTATCAGCTCTTAAGTTAACTGTAATTTATGACATCCACATGATCACTTTCAATCACAGCAACAGAGTTTAGCCTATTTAAAACATACATACCTACCTATGAAAGACACGCTAAGTTCTTACAAGATTAAAACATATGATTTATAAAGACGAGTAAGAATAATATCAACATCTACAGATTTTAACAAAAATTGCAATGGCTAAGCAAAGCAATCAAGTTGCACAAATTTAATTGGCTTACAAATCACAAGTATTTTGATAATCTAGATTCAACAAATGAATTAATTTAAGTGTAAGCGTAATGATTAAAAAACGAATGAGTATTTTTACAAAAGACTAGCGACCTGCCCCGGCTTCGCACGGGTGAGATCTGGATTCTACAACAGCGCCACCTACCGGGTCCAACTATGCATATAACCTTCGCGGTGCAAGCAATATGTTGATAAAGTTTTATATTACTAGCGACCTGCCCCGGCTTCGCACGGGTGAGATCTGGATTCTACAACAGCGCCACCTACCGGGTACAACTATGCATATAACCTTCGCAATGCAAGCAATATGTTGATAAAGTTTTATATTACTAGCGACCTGCCCCGGCTTCGCACGGGTGAGATCTGGATTCTACAACAGCGCCACCTACCGAGTCCAACTATGCATATAACCTTCGCGGTGCAAGCAATATGTTGATAAAGTTTTATATTACTAGCGACCTGACCCGGCTTCGCACGGGTGATATCTGGATTCTACAACAGCGCCACCTACCGAGTACAACTATGCATATAACCTTCGCGGTGCAAGCAATATGTTGATAAAGTTTTATATTACTAGCGACCTGCCCCGGCTTCGCACAGGTGATATCTGGATTTTACAACAGCGAAACCTACCGGGTCCAACTATGCATATAACCTTCGAGGTGCAAGCAATATGTTGATAAAGTTTTATATTACTAGACCGACCTGCCCCGGCTTCGCACGGGTGAGATCTGGATTCTACAACAGCGCCACCTACCGGGTCCAACTATGCATATAACCTTCGCGGTGCAAGCAATATGTTGATAAAGTTTTATATTACTAGCGACCTGCCCCGGCTTCGCACGGGTGAGATCTGGATTCTACAACAGCGCCACCTACAGGGTCCAACTATGCATATAACCTTCACCGAAGTGCAAGCAATATGTTGATAAAGTTTTATCGCAATCTGATGAACGGTATGGCAACGCACGAAATACAAACCAATATTAATTATTATATATTAGATTACGTTAACTATTACTATTAGATTATCCACTTTTTAGTTTTTAGGTACAGCAATAATATAGTGATATAACATTGTAGTGGCGGTGCAAGAATATTTACTACCTCATATCGTACCGAGGGTGCCGTAAGAGGCGATAGAGGGAAAATGAACCAAGATATGGGCATTTATGGAGATAACAATTCCAAATCATTAAAAAAAACTGCGGTTGCGAACCCGCATGCCGAGCGTGGCAACTATGGTAAAATTCCCCCATGAGGCATATGGCAATAAATAATATTAGTAATAATAATGTCCTCCAGAGCGAATTTCGGCCACGGCGGCCTGCCTCAACGGAGGCTAGTCATCGGCGCGGGACAGGATTATAGTGCCCAAGTGAATGCGCAAGCAATGGGGTACTCTCTATTCCCTCACTCTTATAATCCGATGGGACGGTAAACCGACACGACTGGAGAGAGATCAAGCGCAGGACCAACGGCTTTACGTGCCTTCCGAGGCACGTGGGTGAGACACCGCCAACTTCCTAACTCCGGGCAACTACTGAGAATTTCTTAATCGATCGCTTCTTTAATATGAGCAGTATTAAAGTTGCGTAAGTCATGCCGCATGCATTTGAAGATCTGTCTGTTCAGTTGCCTGTATGCTGTCAAATCTGTTGACGATTGCAGCCTCATCTCCCGTCTAACAGCCATGAGATTAAGAGTGTGATCGGAGAGTTTTTGTGTTCTTCTGCGGCGGGTCTTGCAGAACTTAGCTCCGACCGCATGTACAGTTTCCACGAGCTTGTCATTCATATCGTCCACTGCATTGCAATCTTCTAGGCACTGAAAGCGGTTACGTAACTCGAGCTGAAAAGGGACGGAGCGTTGACTTCATTAGACGAGACCTCACCAACTTAACGTTTAAGTTCAGTGTGCCTCTAACCATTCGGTGATCGCTGCCGGTTTTCACCCTTACGATCACTGAGACATCACTGAACCATTGGCGTCTGGTCGTCATAATGAAGTCAATCTCATTTTTTGTCGAACCGTCGGGGTTCCACCAGGTCTACTTCCTGTGGGGCCGCTTCTGGAAGAAAGAGTTCATCATAAAGAGTCCCTCTTTCTCCATAAAGTCAGCCAGCTGCTGGCCCCTACGGTTCCGTTGCCCTACTCCAAATTTCCCTAACTTCAGCTCACCGCCTTCTCTTGTGCCTAGTTTTGCGTTGAAGTCTCCCATCAACACCGTGTAGTGGGTTTTGGAGGAATGCATGGCTCTAGAAATATCCTCATACATTTCCTCCATCTCCTCATCGGGATGTGCCGGGGTTGGTGCGTAGACCTGTATGACCTTCAGCGAATACCGTTTGGTGATTCTGAGTATCAGGTACGCGACCCTCGTCGACACACTCCCAATCTTTACAACGTTGTTGACGAGAGACTTGTGGATGATAAATCCGACACCTCCTTGGGACAGATGGTCGCCCTCCCGGTGATAGAACAAGTTGCCGGACTCGAGGATTACCGTGTCCTCCCCCTCTCTTCGGACCTCAGATAATCCAATAATATATATATATATATATATATATATATATATATATATATATATATATACTTACTTACTTACTTATCTTCACGCACAATCCCTAACGGGGTAGCCAGAGAGAACAGATCGCCAAGTGTCACGATCCTTACATACCTCTTTCGCTTCTTTCAGGTTCATTAACTTCTTCATACATGCACGTCTAGGTATCCGAGTACACTTGACCTTCCCCTCTTCGAGCAATTTGCTCACATGGTCTTCGAAAGTTAGTCTCGGTCTACCTCGACACCTTTTAATATTTACTTTCGCTCTTTATATTTTCTTCACCATTCGGTCTTCACTCATTCGCTCAACGTGCCCAAACCATTGGAGTACGCTCCTATCGATATATATATATATATATATATATATATATATATATATATATATATATATATATATAATGTATTTTAATACATATGGTACCAACAGAAATTAACAAAGAAAGTTATTAAAAAAATTAAATAGATGTTATGTTGTAGTGATTACAAAACCCAATAAGAAGAAATCCATTGTCATTTGTCGCAGGTTTATAATATATCCTAGTAATATAATAGAAACAAAACACAGCTAACTGTCAAATATTTCGCGATAAACTCTTCCAAAGTAGCGAGAATGAGCGACGAGCGATGCATAATTCGCATGACGTCATGGCCAGGTTCCACAAGCACTCGGAAAAGGAGAAGACCTGCATCTAGGGCAGACGACATCACTCGAGTCGCAAGCAATAACGGCAGAAGCCAAATACCGAGACCACTGGCGTTCTCTGAGGAGGCCTTCACCCTCACTACTTGAAGGGTTCATGCATGGTGTTTTTTATCTTAAATCTTTATTCTATTTTGAATCTATAATTTTCTTTTCTTATTTTTATTTTCATTTTATTTCTATTTTTTTAATTATATTAAAAACAAAAATTATATGTATATTAAAAATGAATGAATTTTATATTAAATATTAAATGTAATTAGTAATTTAATATTTAATTTAAAATATAATTAAAACCAGAAATAAAAATAAATATGTAATAAAAATACAACTATTAACTTTTGAGATAATAACAAAAGCAATATAACAGGCCTTTTTTAACTTATTATATTGTTATTATCAAAATATATTATTAGAAGTAAATGTTATGTGCAATGCATGAAATAAAAAATACTTTTTTATTTTAATTTTTTATTTTATTGTATAGGTTCTCTGAGGAGGCCTTCACCCTCACTACTTGAAGGGTTCATGCATGGTGTTTTTTATCTTAAATCTTTATTCTATTTTGAATCTATAATTTTCTTTTCTTATTTTTATTTTCATTTTATTTCTATTTTTTTAATTATATTAAAAACAAAAATTATATGTATATTAAAAATGAATGAATTTTATATTAAATATTAAATGTAATTAGTATTTAATATTTAATTTAAAATATAATTAAAACCAGAAATAAAAATAAATATGTAATAAAAATACAACTATTAACTTTTGAGATAATAACAAAAGCAATATAACAGGCCTTTTTTAACTTATTATATTGTTATTATCAAAATATATTATTAGAAGTAAATGTTATGTGCAATGCATGAAATAAAAAATACTTTTTTATTTTAATTTTTTATTTTATTGTATAGGTTAAGGTTATACGTTCTAGAGTGACCTGTTTATGGGCCGATAGCAACGATTACGACAAGATGTATGCGTGAAGACGGTATATAAGGAGTCTAAGACGAAGGCCAATTATTATGTTTCATGTTTTATTCAATATCGCTTTTTTATTCCACTGTTGGGAGTAGACTTTAACTTGTGGTAGATCCGCGCTGCAGTTGTATTATAGGTACTAAACGATTAGTCGGAACTGAGGAAGAACCACGATCTCACAGAATACCAACATATTGCTACTATGCTTCGTATGGTGAGTGTAGGAAACTGAAGACCCATTTCCCTGACCACGAAGCATTCCATATTAGTCCTCAGAGGTGGCAACGCACCTGCATATTAATTCTCAATCATTTATAGATGTTATTAAACAACACTTCGTTTGTAAATTTGCAACTTCAATTAAATAGGTAATCACAAGTGGAAAGTAATATAAGTTTTCCAACGCCCTTTACTTGTAAATATGTCAAAGGACTGTACAGCAGGCGGTCTCACAAGCGGTTAAGATATCCGGGCGGCATTTAGTCCTAATAATACAAATGTATCTCCTATATTCTCCTTGCATAATGATATTATAGCAATTTTTAACGATACAATCAACATCCACCAATGCTATATCCTATGCTCTGTTTCTTATATAAATTAAATATTATTTATTTTTGTATTTTTACAAAATTAAAGTCTAGCGATATTTAAATCAAGACGATCAAAACTGAATGATAAATAAAAGTGCTGAAAGATCTGAAATTCCTTCTACTAATATTCTTATTCATCGAATCGAATCTAACAAACATCACTTTGGCGGGGTCAGGGAGTCTCGTATGTTAGTGTTAGATGTCTCGCCTAGGGAGTATCGTATGGTGAGTGTAGAGAACCGGAGACCCTTTTACTGGAAACGAGGCGTTCCACCTTTGTCCTCAGGGGTGGCAACGCATCTGCATCTTGATTCTTAATCAAAGATTGATGTAGGTGTCTATTGGTAACAACATCTAGTTACCATCAGGTGGATTATATCCTTGTTTTTTATCCTTATTCTATTAAAAAAACGTGAAAACACTTTGAATCTTATAATTAAATTTACCTGTATCGCATTCAGCAGCTTAGCGCAGTCCGATGTGCCGTAACACTGCCTCGTGCCCGTCTCGACGACTATCACCTGACTTGCCTTTGTTGAAGGTCTCTGGGCAAATGTCTGGATCTGTTTGATCTTATCCCATTGGAAACGGCTCACCATAAGCAGCGGCGGCTCGACTGGTGGTAGAACGTTCTCTATAAAATACATGTCATTGCATGTTAATATTTATTTTTATTTATTTATTTAAGTTCACCAACGATTGTTGCAACAATGCAGAAACAGTAAGCACACGTCAACTTAAAAATAATAAATTAGAATGTGGAATAAGAGGTCCAGTGAAAACCTGGTGTAGAAAATATTTAGAAAATAGAAATATGTTGTTCGTGTAAACAAAGTGGATAGTAGGATAGGAAAAGTAAAATTTGGTGTACCGACTGGCTCTGTGTTTGGCCCGATCGGATATATAACGCACGTCAACAGCATGATAAATGTTATCAAGAATTGTAGAATATATATGGAATAAATAGTAACAAATACAGTTAAAAGTGCAGCAAGATTTAAACAATTTAATAAAGTGGTCCCACGACAATGGTGTTATCATGAACTTGAATAAAACCAAATTTCTAGAAAAACAGTAGATATAGCTCTTATGGGTCACACTTACGATTGTCTGCACACTGACCAGTCGAGCTCTGCTGTCTTTTTTATAGTATAGGGCGATGAACGAGCACACAGTCCACCTGATGGTAAGTGGTTGCTGCGGTCCATAGACATCCACATCTATCCTCGATTACAAATCAAAATGCAGATGCGTTGTCACCCGTGAGGACAAAGATGGAATGCCTCGTTTCCAGTAAAAACGGTCTCCGGCTCTCTACACTCACCATACGAAACAGCAGCATTAAGCTGCTATTTCACGGTGGTATTCTATGAGTGCGTAGTCCTTCCCCGGTCGGCCGAGCACGAATGGGTCGGCCATTCGTGCTACAACTATACTACTAATATAACTGAAGCATGGCTCTACCACGTATAAAATATATAATATAATATACAGTCTGCCGCTGCGAAAAGATACAATGTGTAACAAACTATAAATATTTAGGGTTGGTTATAGATAATCGTTTCTCATGGGACTTGCATGTTGAATTAGTGTTTAACAGGATTAGGGCAGTATTAGGTAAACTGAATTATATAAAATATGTTGTGAACCGAGGAATAATGTACATGCTGTATTATGCCCTAGCAGACGCAACGATCGGATATGGCTTAGGTGCATATGGACTTACATTCCCAACATATCTTAACAAAATAAAGACTATGCAGATAAGATTCTTAAAGATATTAGGTAATCCTGAAACGAAAAATGCTCTAGATAAAAATTATGAAATGTTACTTAAAGTTTGCAAAATAATTCCCATAGACATGAAAGTAAAATCCATCATCATATTAGAACATCATGGTATGGTAACATTTAAGAAACCCAGGACATATATAATGCCGAAGTGCCGAATTATTCAAAGGAGGAAATATCTCATACCTAGGGCTTTGGCTTTGGGCGGCGTACAAGGCAATGGATAACTCCAACTTTGTGTGATGAGGTAGCGGATATATATGACGAAAGCGTAACTAAGTCGCAGCTCAAATCCATCTTGAGGAAACATTATCTGTCGTTGTGTCCATAGTGGTGAATGCTTCTTTAATTATTTATGTATTAATTTAAGTATTTATAAGTACCAGATATTGTTCGGGGGGGGGGGGGGGTCATTGTAGAAGCGTGCTCGTCGCGACCCCTGCCAGCCCTTTTCAGGGCTGCAATTCTACTCAGCTGCGCACCCATGCAAACGAGGGTTAGGGCGTCCCCCCAAGGCGACGCACACCAGCTCGTCCCCGTTGGTGTGGAATGCAGCGCGCAAAGCGGCGATGGGGACCGCCACCCGTCACGCACAGCCCGACACGGCGGAAGGTGGAGAACGGAGTGCAGAGTTGGCACGTGGAATGTTAGAGGGGGCATGAGAGATAAGACGAATGAGTTGATCGAAATAATGAAAGAAAGAGACAATTAGATGTCGTGTGTATGTCGGAGACCAAACGGAAAGGCAGTGGTACTGAAGAGCTCCCTGGCGGGACGTTAGTTATATGGTCCGGAGTCCCGGAAAGCGAGAAATCCTGCCAGGGAGTGGGAGTGCTGTTGTCGTCCCGGTTGGTCGATCTTATGACTGAATACAAGGTTGTGAACTCAAGACTTCTCTGGGTTCGCTTCAAAATGGGACTGACGAAGTTATTTCTTTTGGCTGTTTATGCGCCGGTAGCTTCGTCGTCCAGGGCTGAGCTGGAGGAGTTTTGGGAGAATGTAAGAGAAGTTCTAGATTTGGTTAAGGGAAACGAAAGAACTGTTGTATGTGCTGATTCGAATGGATGGGTAGGTATCGCTCGACCAGGATACGAGTCGGTGCTTGGAAAGTTTGGCGATAAAAGGGTTAATGACGCTGGCAATCTTATACTGGCTGTATGCAAGGAAAAGGGTCTTCTTGTGACAAACACTATGTTTAATCACAGGAAAATCCATATGTACACTAGAGAAAGAAAGAATGAGAGAAGTATGATTGATTTGTTCCTGGTGGATGACCGACTGCGAAAACAGGTGATGGATACACGAGTGTTCAGGGGTGCTGACCTGGGAACGGATCATTATCTAGTAATTACTAGATTTAGGGGTTTGTTCGCGGGTTGGCGCTACCGAACGGCAGTAACAGAACCACAGTCGGTCTGTCGCATCCGAAGCTGGAAGCTTCAGGAAGCGGATACTAGGGACAAATATCACACGAGGGTAGCCGAATATACCCCCGGAATATGTTACGTTATTATGTCACAAAACGAAAGCCATCCTTTTTTTTTTCTTTTCAGAAAGAAGTTTTTTGGACTGAGCAGTAATTTTCTGATAATTAAGAAAATTTTCCATTGACATATTAGAGGAATATAGCCGTTCTGCTGCCTTTCGTTTTTTAATAATTGAGGAACAGTCTGAGTCCCACCATGGAGGTGAAGAAATTTTACTTGTGGAGGAATTCTTCAAAGGGAAAATTTTGTATGCTATATTATTCAGAAGGGTTATAAATTCGGAATAGGCACTCTGGAGGTTATCTGGAGATACAGGGGGAAGATTATTGATATTAATTTCTGTTTCCGAGGAGAATACATCCCAATCAGCTTCAGACAGATTGAATTTAAGAAGAGGTGATAAATTTCGAGTAGGAACACATCTATTACTTAGGTTTAAAAGGATGGGAAAGTGATCACTTCCAAAAGAAGAAGGGAGAGTTTTCCATGATATGCTAGCAGCCAGAGTTGGAGAGCACAATGACAAGTCTACTGCAGATCTAGAATTCTGCGAAGGGTAGGCCATTCTGGTGGGAGAACCGTCATTTAGGAGACAAAGATTAAATTCATTAAAAACATCAAGTAGCAGATAAGAAAAAGAGTCAGATTTATGAGAACCCCACATAACATGATGGCTATTAAAGTCTCCAAGGATAACGTAAGGTGGAGAGATGCTTGAAAGAATTAAATTGAGTTCTGATATACGAAGGAGTGGGAGCCGGAATGTAAATGGATAGGATTGTGATGTCCACAGCCTTAACAGCTACTGCATTTATATTGCCTTGTACAGGAGGAAGAGGAATGGGTGATAAGGGAATGGTCCTGTTAAGTAAAACCAATGCGCCACCGTAGCCGTCGCTCCTATCACTACGATAACAGGAGAAGCCTGGGATTCTAAATGTGGAGCCTGGCTTAAGCCAGGTTTCCGATATTGCAAGTATAGAAGGGTTATGAGTATTAATTAAGTGAATTATATCAGGTTTTTTATTCCTGATGCTCCGACAATTCCACTGGAGGAGGGTTAGGGATTCGAACTTTATATATTCTTGAGAAGAGGACATCTAGTTTGCTTTTCACGTTGAACGGTAAATGGGAATCATCGAATTTGCCAACAATATCTGTAAGAGAGGCCACAAGATTTTCTAGAAGGTTATCATTAGGGGATATTATATTGCTTTGTAAAGCATGCCCATTGGGAAGAGAGGACGAAGGAGTACTTGTAATGTTATAGTGTGAACTTTATCATATCCTTGTGTAGATGGCACTGGCACATATTTGGCTTTATAAATAGTTTTCCTATAGGACTGAGAAGGAGACAGAGTGGGAGGATTTACCGATGCCTGAGGAGATGGGAGATGGCTTACAGGAATTTGTGAAAATGCAACATCAGAATAAGGTCTTCTGACAGCCGGGAAGCGGGCGGAAGCCTCAAGGTATGATACATTCTCTTGTGACATTACTATTTTGATAGCTTTTTGCCTTGAGTGCTCTGGGCAACTTCTTTCAATAGCCATATGATTTGCCGAACAGAAAAGACAGGTTGGGGAATCTGTGGGACAATTATCTCCGGTGTGCTCTTTGCTGCATTTAAAGCATCGTGGTTTCGATCGACATTGGGCTTTGACATGTCCGAAACGGCAACATTTTAGACATTGGATAGTAGGAAGAAGGTAAGTTTCGACTGGTATGGAAGCATAAAAGCAATATAAATGGGAGGGGAGCACTTGTCCTGTGAAGGTGAGGACAACAGTTTGAGTTGGAACCCACTCCACTTCATCACCCTTTTTGACCTTTCTGTTAAGTCTTCTGGCTTTAATGATTTCTCCTCTGCCAGGAGGGAGCTCAGACTCGCTCACTAATTCCTCCATAGAGATGTCAGTCGGGATACCCCTGATCACACCCATACGGGTGACATTAAAAGTTGGAATAACAGCAGAAACTTTATAATGCGAGAGAAACTCAGAGTCAATAAAATTATTAGCATCATTAGCAGTTTTAAAAGCAATTGAAACCCTGTAGCGCCCTAAAATTTTGATACCCTGTTTTTCAATATTGGCCCCTTTATTTTGGGTAAGGATATGACCAATTCTCACAGGTCTAATTGTATAACCTGCTGATCAGGTTCTGAGCGGCTTAAATGTATTACAAATGGGGCTTTATCGCTATCTACATACTTTTTTTATCTTGGAAGTCAGGGTGGACGTATGTATTTTAGTAGGAGGCAGAAGGGTGATCTTCGTGCCCTATTTTTTTCTTTGGGAAGTTAGGTAATGGTAAGGAATCCGTGAGTTTACGTTTAGCAGGGCCAGAATCACCAGGTAAATCCGGTG